CTCCCGGCCACTGCAGCCTCGACCTGCTGGGCTCCGGCGATCCTTCCGCCTCAGCCTTCCAAGTAGCTGGAACTACAGGTGCGTGCGACCACACCCGGCTGATTTTTGATTTATTGTGGAGATGCGGTTTTGCTTGCCCAGGCGGATCTCGAACCCGCAGCCTCAGGCAATCCACTCACCTCAGCCTCCCAAAGTGCTGGGATTACAGGCTGAGCCACCGAGCCCAGCCCTGTTTTTTCTTTCTTTCTTTCTTTCTTTCTTTTTTTTTTCTTTTTTTTGAGTTAGAGTCTCACTCTGTCACCCAGACTAGAGTGCAGTTGGCCGCTCCCAGCCACCACAGCCTCGACTTGCTGGGCTCCGGCGATCCTTCCGCCTCAGCCTTCCGAGTAACTGGAACTACAGGCACGCGCTACCGTGCCCGGCTAATTTTTTGAATTATTGTAGAGATGAGGTCTCGCCAAGTTGCTCAGGCGGGTCTCGACTGTTTTTTCTTATTGATGGACATTTGTTTGCAGCAATTTGCTGTTACGAATAATAACTGTATTGCCCAAGCGCAGTGGATCACACCTTTAATCCCAGCACTTTGGGAGGCGGAGGCGAGAGGATTGCCAGAGCTCAGGAGTTCAAGACCAGCCTGAGCAACATGGCAAGACCTCGTCTTTATAATAAATCAAAAGATTAGCCGGGTTTGGTGGCACATGCCCGTAGTTCCAGCTAGTTGGAAGGCTGAGGTGGAAGGATCACCTGAGCCTCCCAAAGTGCTGTGATTACAGACATGAACTGCCATGCCTGACTGAATATCTTTTCATATGTACCTGTAGTTCCTTTTCTGTGGAATGCCTATTCATTTTTTTGTGTCTGCCCATTTTAAATTGGTTGTGGGTCTTTTCTTTTTGCATTGATTTGTAGGAACTCTTTATTGGTAAATTGATCCTTTGTTATCAGAATTGCAATTTTTTTTTCAAGTTTGTCCTTTGTTTTTTTGCCTTGTAGAAAATCTGTTGTTTTAAAATCAATCTTTTATTTTATGGCTTCTGAATTTTTTATGTTGTACTTATAAATTTTCTCTCATTTCTAAAAATTCATTTGAAATTTATTTTGATGAAAGATTCATAGCCGGGCTCGGTGGCTCAGCCTGTAATCTCACGCCTTTGGGAGGCTGAGGTGAGTGGACTGCCTGAGCCCGCGGGTTCAAGACCCACCTGGGCAACTTGACGAGACTTCATCTCTACAATAAATAAAAAAATTAGCCGGGAGTAGCATGTGCCTGTAGTTCCAGCTACTTGGAAGGCCGAGGCAGAAGGATCCCCGGAGCCCAGCGGGTCGAGGCTGCAGTGGCCGGGAGCGGGCACTGCACTCCAGTCTGGGTGACGGAGTGAGACTCCAACTCAAAAAAAAAGAAAGAAAGATTCAGAGCTGGTGTTTATTAATTTAGTTTTTTCAGATATCTACCCAGTCACCCCAATGCTACTTATTGAATGGTCTATGTTTTTTTCCATTAATGGAAATATGATTTAAAAAATCATACTCTCATATGTATTTATATCTCTTTCTGGCCTTACCATTCTATTTCTATACCACTGATTTATTTGTCTGAATATAAACTGAAGGACACTGTTTTTACTTTTATTATGGAAAATTATAAGTATAATCACAAGTACACACTATTTTAATGTGCCTTTATAATAATGTTTTAATATATGGAGGAGCTCCTGCTCCACCCTTCCTCTTTACTCTTTTTCAGAATTTGCCTGTCTAATCATGTATTAATTTTTGCACTTTAATTTCAGAATAAGCTTGCCTAGTTTCCCCAGAAATTCTGCTGGTATTTTTATGGAAATTCTGTGAACATTATAGATTAATTTTAGAGATTTGTCATCTTGAGTCTTTCAAGAATGCGACATGCCTTTTTATTTGTTAAAGTTTTCTTTTGAGACTCTCATTTTTTCTGTTTGTTTTAAAGCTCTTTACCAGCTTCTCCCTGTTTTCCACTGCCCTTGGTGACCACTGTTCTACTCGCTACTTCCACGAGTTCGACTTTTTTAGATTCTGCCTATGAGTGGGATCATGGAGTTCGGTCTCTTTCTGTGTCTGGCTTATTTTGCGTAGCAAGGTGCCCACCAGGTTCATCCATGGTGTCTCATATGGCGCGTTTTCCTGAATTTTCATGTCTGAGTAATACTCTGTCAGTGGTTTTGTATGTCCACTCATCCGTTGGCCCTTAGCTTGTTTCCAGATCTCGGCTATCGTGAATAACTCTGCCGTGAGCGTGGGAGTACAGACAGCTCTTCAGATACTGATTTCATTTCCTCTGGCTATATGCCCAGAAGTGGGATCACTAGATCACATGGTAGTTCTGTTTTTAATTTGTTGAGAACCCTTCGTACTCTTTTCTCTAATAGCTGAACCAATTTACATTCCCACCAACAGTGTACAAGGATTCCCTTTTCTCTGTCTTTGCCAACACTTAATCTCTTGTCTTTTTAATAGTAGACATCCTAACACGTGTCAAGTGATAACTCATTGGTGCTTTAAAGTTTTCACCATTCAGATCTTGCATATTTTTTATTTAGTTTATATACTGTCGGGGTGGTGGTTCACGCCTGTAATCCTAGCACTTTGAGAGGCTGAGGCGAGAAGACTGCCTGAGCCCAGGGTTCAAGACCAGCCTGAACAACTTGGCGAAACCTCGTTCCTACTATAAATAAAAAAATTAAGCCGGGCTCGGTGGCTCAGCCTGTAATCCCCGCGGCTTTGGGAGGCTGAGGTGAGTGGATTGCCTGAGCCTGCGGGTTCGAGACCCGCCTGGGCAGGCAAGACCTCATCTCTACAAAAAATCAGCCGGGCGTGGTAGCACGCGCCTGTACTTCCAGCTTCTTGGAAGGCTGAGGCAGAAGGATCGCTGGAGCCCAGCAGGTCGAGGCTGCAGTGGCCAGGAGCGGCCACTGCACACCAGTCTGGGTGACAGTGAGACTCCAACTCAAAAAAAAAATATATATATATATATTTTTTAAATTAGCTGGGCGTGGTGACCGCACGCCTGTAGTTCCAGCTACTTGGGAGGCTGAGGCAGAAGGATCACCTGACCCCTGCAGGTTGAGGCTGCTGTGGCTCTGAGTGTGCCACTGCACTTCTGCCTGGATAACAGTGAGCCTCCGACTCAAAAAAAAAAAAAAAAAGTTTATATCCCATATACTATACCACCAAAAAAAAAATTGGGGGAAGAGCTTATGTCCAGTTATTTATATTCTCTCTCCCTCCCTCTCCCCCACTGTAAATAGGATATCTTTTCCTTGCATCATTTACAGCTGATTGTGTAAGTGTATATACATGAAGGTTTACATTTCATGGTGATAATTTGCACCCAGCCACCTTAACAAATTTTTTGTTTGTATTTTTTTTTTTTTATCTCTCTTGAGTTTTCCAGATGTATCATCATGTCACTTAAAAATGGTATATTTACTTCCTTTTCCATTTCTATACTTGAAGCTGTATATTTGAAGTGTTACAGGTATGTTTCTTACCTAGGCGGGGCTCTTGGCAAGCAGAGTGGGCCCCATGACGCAAAGCCTAGGGCAGGCAGGAGATATTGGGAATTACAGCCGTCACCTCAGAATCGTGTGCTGGGGGCTTTTGGTTTTTGGTTTTTCATATTTATCTCTTTTGTTTCCTCTAGATGTGAAATCCGGCAGCTATACAGTGTTACAAGTGGTGGAAGCCCTTGGGTAAGAGCCTCTGCTCAAGAATGTTCTCCTCCAGCCCTGCCTGTGCACTCTGAAAAGTTACTTGTCAACATAGTTGCTTCCGGAATTTGTCTTCCTGTAGCCCAGCAAACCCCCTTCTATATTAGTACCTCAGTCTAAGCCTGTCTTTGAGTAATATCTTGTGAAAAAGGCGTCATGTACCTGGCTGAGGCTTCCTAAGTAGTGTTTGGGAGCATGTAGCCTGTAGGCCTGTGGTCGCCTGGCTCAGCCCACAGGTTTGAGGTGAGTTGAGTGGTTGAAGGCCATCAGCTGTCATTTACTTAATGCTGGGATTCCTTCTGTGCTTCTTGAGACCCACCTGCCCCCCATGGGCTTCTGGTCAGCCTAGACCTGGGGACTTGGGAGAGGCTGCCCCTGCAGCAGATCCCCTGGGGGAAAAGCCTTGGGGAAACAGCTGGCAAGGTGGCCTTATAACCTGAGATTCTAAGCACCCAGAGGAAGTGTGTTCCTAGTGCCTGCTTCCTCATATTTCGTACTTGGTAGACCACTTAAATTGACAAGTGTATTTTTATTTTTTTTAGTTAGAGTCTGGCCACGATGGCCTCGACCTGCTGGGCTCAGGTGATTCTTGAGTAGGATTACAAAGTAAGGTGGCCAGTTTAATGAAGGTTTTTAAAAAATTATTTAGAATTATTGATATGGGAGAGCTGGACTGAAGCAACAAGAAGGTGATTTATCTTCAAAATCGCTCTGCAGAGATTACACTTATACTAGAAGTAATCTAAGCAGGAATACACAGGAAGTAGATTTCTGGAAGAGAGCTGGCCACAGCAGTTATGTTAAACCTCAAGGAGTGGCCGGGCATGGTGGCTTAGCCTGTAATCCCAGCACTTTGGGAGGCTGAGGTGAAGGATTGCCTGAGCCCATGGGTTTGGGACCAGCCTGGCAACTTGGTGAGACCTCATCTCCACAATAAATCACAAAAACTAGCCTGGCGTGGTGGCGTGCGTTTGTAGTTCTAGATACTTAGAAGGCTGAGCCAGAAGAATCGCCTAAGCCCATCAGGTCGAGGCTGTAGTGGCCATGAGCATGCCACTGCACTGCAGCCTGGGCGACAAAGTATGAGACTCCAACTCAAAAAAAACCCCTCAGCCTGTAATCCCGCGCCTTTGGGAGGCTGAGGTGAGTGGATTGCATGAGCCCACGGGTTCGAGACCCGCCTGGGCAGGCGAGACCTCATCTCTACAATAAAATAAAATAAAAAAATTAACCAGGTATGGTAGCGCATGCCTGTAATTCCGGCTACTCGGAAGGCTGAGGCGGAAGGATCGCCGGAGCCCAGCAGGTCGAGGCTGTGGTGGCCCGGAGCGGCCACTGCACTCCAGTCTGGGTGACAGAGTAAGACTCCAACTCAAAAAAAAAACCCCTCATGGATAAGGTAGCATATCACTAAGAGTAACGGGGCAAACATGAGATCACTCCTGACAGAATCCCTAGGATAGGAACCATAGAAAGGTCTCTCCTCAGGAAGCAGGAAACAGTGGGATCGGTGCAGTTAGAAATGGACCAAGGCACACAGATGCTCATAGCAGCATTTTCAGAGTAGCCAAAAGGTGGGTACAACTCAGATGTCCATCAGCCAGTAAATGGTTAAATAAAATGTAGTGCATCCATGCAACAAAATGTTATTCAGCAAGAAAAGAAATGCAGAACTGATACATGCTACAGCATGGATAAATCCTAAAAACAAGCTAAGTGAAAGAAGTCATGAACAGAGGTCACATAGTATATCATTTCATATATATGAAGTTTCCAGCATAGGTAAATTTGTAGAGACAGAAAGTAGATTTGTAATTGCCAGGGGCTGGAAAGAAGCGGGGAGGGGGGATTGTCTGCTGATGGGCAGGGGTTTCTTTTTAGAATAACAAGATATCCAAAAATCATGTTGAGAATTGCAGAAATCCATAAATATACTTTAAAAGCCACAGAATTACACACTTTAAAATGGTGAACTAAATAAATAAAATGGTGAACTTTACAATATATAAATTTTATTTCAATAAAGCTGTTATTTAAAAAAAAAAACCAAGGCCATAATGTGAGTAGAAAGGTCAAATGTCTGTTATATGGGGAAAGTGTGTGACAGTGGCTTCACTTGTTAATTTCCCCCAATTTTCTAATTTTCTCTGTTTCAGAAAACATGCTGGCTGTGACAATTCACTTTCACTAATAAGAATTGACTATTTGACTGGGTTGGGTGGCTTATGCCTGCAACCCCAGCACTTTGGGAAGCTAAGGATGGGGCATTCCTTGAGGCCAGGAGTTAGAGATCAGCCTGGGCACCACAGCAAGACCCTGTCTCTTAAGAAAAAAAAAAGATTTACACAGGGTGTGGTGGCTCTTATCTGTAATCCCAGAGTTCACTTTGGGAGGCGGAGGCAAGAGGATTGCCTGAGCCCCAGGGGTTGGAGCCCAACCTGGGCAACGTGGCGAGACCTCATCTCTAGGATAAGTCAAAAAATTAGCTGGGTATGGTGGTGTGTGCCTGTAGCTCCAGCTACTTGGAAGGCTGAGGTGGAAGGATCACCTGAGACCTGCTGACTGAGGCTGGGGTGGCCGTGAGCATGCTACTACACTCCAGCCTGGGTGACAGAGTGAGACTCTGACTCAAAAAAAAAAAAAGAAAGCTGGGTGTGGTGGTGTACACTATTGCTACCTGGGTCTTTCCAAGTGGCTCTCCTCCCAGAGTGCTGAGGTGATAGGCGTGAGCCCGACTGTCTTTACTCTTTTAACAGCTTGGCTCTGCTTCTGTGCCCAGGAGATGAGTGCTACTAATCATAAAATATGTATTTCTTCCAAGTTTGAGCTGGGTAATGGCAGGCTGTCTCCTGTTTCCTCCCAGGTCCTCTCTAGAGAATCCAGAACACCGAGCTCGTGCCCGAGGGATCCAGCTTCTGTCACAGGTGCTGCTCCAGTGTCACCCCCTGCTCCTGGAGAAGGAAGGTACTGGCGCCACTAGTAGGAATGTCTTCCCAGACTGCTGAGTCAAGGTCTCCTATATCTGTTCAGGCCACTTTATAGGAGGGCGGGAGGGCATAAGTCGCCTGTGCCCTGCTGACTCGGGGTCCTCATTCCTCACTGTGTATGTGGCAGAGATGACTAGAATCGAGACACAGGACACATGGGTTTCAAATCTGGACTCAAACAGTTTGTTCAGTGTGTCTTTCCCACTCTGTAAAGTGAGCAAGTAGTGTTTCCTAGATGGAGGGGAAGCGTGATGAAAGATCAAAGTGCAGCCGGGCTCGGTGGCTCAGCCTGTCATCCCGCGCCTTTGGGAGGCTGAGGTGAGTGGATGGCCTGAGCCCATGGGTTCGAGACCC